CTGAACAATGGCAACATCAACAGACATGCTAACATGGAAAGGGAATATTTCAAGGGATCCCACCACAGACAAAGAACTAGAGTCAACTAATGACTCTTGAGAGAAGGAAAATTAGTCTTCCCCAGGAATGAGTCCCATAATTGGTTATCCAATACCAAGTGGTCAGTCAGTCACATACATACAAGCACCACTAAATGGACTCAGCGAGTTCTATTTATATATTTATGCATTATATATGCAACAATAATTAGAGGTCATAAGTTCGAGAGAGAGCAAGAGGAGGATATGGGAATATTTGAATGAGGAATGGGGGTGGAGGATGTAATTATATTTTAATTTTTAAAATGTAAAAATTAATTAAAATCATTAAAATGAGAATAAAGATGAATAATATGATATATTGAGATAGAGAGCATGTTCAGAAGGCTGTTATTATAGCATATTGATAAATTGTCCTGGTTTTTTAAAAAATTAAGTATTGTTAATCTTACTGCACTAAATTTATAAATTAAAATTTGTCAGAACATAGTACACATGGTGTTTCAAACACTTAATCTGGATCTTAGAAGATATTCTCTTCAACCAATGTGGGTACTACTCCACTTCTTTTTCATTTTTAAAATTATATCATAGAGGCATATCTCTCCTGTTAGACTGGCTTTCGTCACTAGGAAAATGGAGTGAAAGTGACCAATGAGAGAGGTCAGGCTGTCCAGCATGACCAAAAGGTGGTGAATGCACACAAGGTCCAAGAAAAGGCATGCTTCCACACAAAGGCATGCTCCAAACTGCCTTGATATTTGCAAGCCTTCAAACTGCCTTGGCCACAGAATGAAGTCCTGGCCTTCCACTCTGGCTGGTCTCCCCCAGCTCCTGTCTTCCCTGTGACACTATCTTGACCTGAAAGGACTCAGGACAGCTCTCCTCAGTTGTTTCTCTACAGATTGGAAGTGCTTCATCCTTTGCAGAGACTGAAGATTCTCTGGGGAAGGAGAGGTGGCAGGGAGTGTTTGTTATTTGTTGGAAGGAGTCAAGACTTCTGGTCTCTGAAGGCCCATTGAGGTCCTTTTATATTCCCAGATGCCCAGTGAAACTTTTCTGGGCTGGGTTTCTGAAGAGGCCCATGGGAATGGCTTGTAGGAGGGCATGGCATAGATAAGGGACAGAGAATCATTTGAAAACACCCTGTGTCTTGCCCCAAAACCTCCTGTGGGGTTCACATTGAAGTTCCAGTCAGCAGAAGCACCCCTACTGTCACACTCTGGGTACCTCACAGAAGCACCAGCCCAGGTAACAAGAAGCCAGGAGGCAGAGGATTAAAAAGGCACAACAACAGCAATTTTTGTAGACTGCCTAGCATGGTGTTGGGGTGTAGGGCTAGAAACAAGAGTCTTAGAGCTGCCTGGGTTGTTTGCCCAGAGTGCCTTGTCATTCAGCCTCCCAGATGCCCACTTTAAGTACTATGTTAAAGGCCTTCAATAGGTGCTCATACTGATCCACAAAGAAAATGTGGATGTGTCTGGAAAGAGAAAGAGACAGAGACAGAGAAAGACAGAAACAGAGAAAGGGAGGGAAAGACAGAGATGGAGATAGACAGAGATACTGATTTACTGGCATATTGTGGGTAAAAGCCAAGATGCTGTTATACCACATACAGTGCACAAGACATCATCAACTGTAAGAAAGTATCAGTCTTTGCTTATAGACCAATGCTGAGGTTGAGGATCCCTGCTACTGTTATCTGGCTTCTGCAGTTGTGCCCTGCTTTATCGACACTGGACCATACAAATGATTCCAGTATTCCCAAATACAACGATGTCCCAGAGTTCACCATGGATTTGCTTTATTCATTCAGTATTATTTACAAGAACCACTTACATTGTTGTGTGTATTTATAAATCTTAGCAGTGAGTCTACTGTCTCCTTCTACTCCATCTTGCCTGCCTTCTCTGAAGTTATGAGCAAGCAGACACAAAAGCAAGCCCCCTCACTAAAATTAAAGCTATAGGAAACATTGTTACATGCTTGCTCACAAATAGGTTTGAAAACTATTGTAGACACTGGGGAGGAGGTTTACTAGACTACATATCATGAGCTTATTACATTTCTAAATTTTTTATTTTAGCTTTCCACCTAATTGCTTGTTTATGTGTGCAGGGAATGGGGCAGTGCATGACATGGGGTGAATCTGGTGGTCAAAGAACTCTCATTCTACTATGTGGGTCCCAGAGATCAGACTTAGGATATTAGGCTTGGCTGAAAGTGACTTTACCCCTGAACCATCTTATGGGGATGAGCCTATAAATCCTTAATTTCCACTTCTACACTCCTAGCAGCATTTTTGAGGATTTCTTATACCCCCAGCCCAGCAAATACAGGACACTTTCTGCTTTAGGGAATTTTACTTCAAACAGTAAATTCAATGGCTGGCTTCATTTCCTTCCTGTATTCCCTTTCTTCTGATTATTCCTCTAGTGTCTTAGTAACCCCTTTCTGTTCATATCCTTTCCCATTTTTTGCATCAAAATTAATACTCACTGGTTTAACATGTTTCTCTTTTTTTCTACATATATTTCTCTTATCAGTTTTAGACAATGTAATTATCTTCTACCAATTTTCCATCTGCTTGCTAACATTATCTGAGCTATCTTGTGACCAGAGAGGCCAATGATTTGATGATTGCCTGATGTTGGGATTTTACATATTTACTATCATAGTCTAAGACAGTGAACTTGTTCTCCTACACTTTTTCTTTATAGGTTGATATTCATTTTTCATACCTCCAATTTGTCTGGATTCCAAGTTAATGTGGAATTAGATGCAAATAAGATTTTTGTAATTTCATTGAAGGCATTGTCTTACCACAAATGAGTAAACAGTCTACCTCTTTCTCTTGATATGGATTGCCAGGATTTAGCAGGGATTTTGTTGTTGTTGTTGTTAATCTTATGTTTGATTTTGAATAATTCAGTACTTTTAAATCTTCTAATAGGTTTAATATGTCTCAAAGTTGTTTCAATATTGCACTTTGAAAAATGACTATGGCATTGTGTGGGAAGGGCTCAGGATCCCTAAGTTATTGAGAGTTGATGGTTGCTAGAGAGGGAAATTCAATTTTCTTTAAGGATAAGGCCCCCGGTTGAGCAACCACATTCAGGGGATGGCCACAAACCAATGAGTATGTGAGGAGCACAACCTAGAATTGGTCGGTTATTAAAAGAAAATGAAGACATGGAGTTGGGAGGAAGGGATCTAAGAGGAGTTCGGAGAAAAGATGAGAGTGGAATATGATAAAAAATACATTATGTATGTATAGATATATGAAATTCTCAAAAAATTGATAAAAATATATTTTAGAAATTACCATCTGATAAGGACATATTACATGAGAAAAAATCTATTGTCAATAAGAGGGAAAAATACTGACTGTTTAATTGCTTCTGAAACTGGGAGAGGACAGTTCTGCTCTTCTTTCTTTTTTAGAAGATTAGTTTAGTACCACACTTTTTTTTTCTTCAAGGAATTTGGGGAGGTTTTTTTAAAACCATATTTATTTACAGCTGAATCACTGAGATTTAAAATAAAATTTCACTGCAAAAGTGATTTTGCAGACATTATGTCATATAAGACCATAGACTTATAACTGTAAACTTTTTATACTTTTATTAACATTGAAAATTTTCCTTTTGGTAAATACTACATTTGTTTTGTAAACCCATGTATATTATATAGAAGATGTTTTAAAATATCATGGGATGTCTACTGGGTATGTTTGAAAACATTGTTGTGTCTACATGAGCTCTAATGATTAATGAGCTCTTTTTAGTGATTAATGATTAATTTTTCCAATTACTCAATGTATTTCCACAGACAGAATAAAAACAGACAGCATATAGATGTCACATGTAACCCAAATATATTTTATATTTGTAAAAATATTAAATAATTTAAAACACACTCCATTTTAACTTCTAATATGATAAAAAGCTGTTGCTAAAACAACTTAGATGGCTCTTAAGGGCTTCAGTTTTTATTGAGTGTAAAGAGTAAGAAGGAATTCCTGAGAGTAGGAGGGACTTCAAGGGGAGAATACCCTAACAATTTTTAGAAAGTGCATTTGTATCAGGATTGAAATAATCACATGATGTTTCTGTTTAATTGGTCAATGTGGTGAGTGTCAAGACATGATTTGTGACATTGAATCATCCTTGTTTTTCAAGAGACAAAGCAAAACCACTTGACCACAAAACCTTAAGTGTGCCCTTTTCATTAACTAAGTAATGTTTTACTGTGAATTTTAAAATTGGTATGTCTGGTGAAGTGAGCATATACTTTTCTTTTTCAACAATCATTCTTTATTTAGAGTTATTTCATTATTTTAATTATGTGTGTGTCTCTATTTGTGTGAATATGTGCATGAATGCAAGTACCCACAGTGGCTAGGGAGGGTGTCAGATCCCCTGAAGTTGCATGCAGTTGTGAGCTGCTCAAGGTAGGTGTTAAGAACTGAACTCTGGTTCTCTACAAAAACAGTCTATAGCCCATGGACATTCTTTTCTGTTTGTTTGTTGGTTTGGTTTGGTTTCTTGAGACAGGGTTCATCTGTGTAGTCCTTGGCTGTCCTGGAACTCACTCTGCAGACCAGGCTGGCCTCAAATTCAGAGCTCCTTCTGCCTCTGTCTCCAGAGTCCTGGGATTAAAGGCGTGCACCAGTCCATGAGCATTCTTACATGGATTTAGATGAAGATTAAATTAACATGCTGAAGTGATCTAAGAAGTTTTCTCATCTTTTTGATATTTTGAATAATAATAATAAGTGATTGATTTTTCAAATATTAGTAGGACTCATTTGTAAGCTCACTGGGGTTACAGTTTTAGGGAAAATGAGACCCAGAAATGTTCAGTAAGTTTTTCAAACACAGAGCTTTTATATTGCTGTTGTTCTGTGCCAGAGCAGTGTTTTCATCAATATATTTCTGATTTCATCAGCCTTGGAAGCCATGCCTGGTCAGAACTACAGCACCATGTCAGAATTTATCCTCTTTGGCTTCTCAGCCTTCCCGCAGCAGATGTTGCCCGCCCTCTTCCTGCTGTACCTGCTGATGTATCTGTTCACACTCCTGGGGAATCTACTCATCATGGCTGCTGTCTGGACAGAACGCAGACTCCACACACCCATGTACCTCTTCCTGTGTGCCCTCTCCATCTCTGAGATTCTCTTCACTGTTGTCATTACCCCTCGAATGCTGGCTGACCTGCTGTCCACTCATCGATCCATCACATTTATAGCTTGTGCTAACCAATTATTTTTTTCCTTCACATTTGGCTACACTCATTCCTTCTTGCTCATGGCCATGGGTTATGACCGCTATGTGGCCATCTGCCGCCCCCTGCATTACCATGTGCTCATGAGCCTCCAAGGCTGTGCTCGTCTTGTGGCCTGGTCTTGGGCTGGTGGTTCACTCATTGGGGTGACAGTAACATTAATAATTTTCCACCTCACCTTCTGTGAATCTAACGTGATCCATCACTTTCTCTGTCATGTGTTTTCCCTCTTAAAGTTGGCCTGTGGAGAAAGGACAGCCTTTGCCACCATTGTTGTGATCCTGGTGTGTGTCACACCCCTCATAGGATGCCTGGTCCTTATTGTCCTTTCCTATATCTTCATTGTGGCTGCCATCTTGAGAATCCCCTCTCCTGAGGGCCGGCACAAGACATTCTCCACATGTGTATCCCATCTAACTGTGGTGATTGTGCACTATGGCTTTGCCTCCATCATCTACCTCAAGTCCAGAGGACCCCATTCACTTTACACTGACACCCTCATGTCCACCACCTATACAGTCTTCACCCCTTTTCTTAGTCCAATTATTTTCAGCTTCAGGAATAAGGAGCTGAAGAATGCTATTAATAAAAGCTTCCACAGGAATTTCTGTCAACAAAGTTCCTAAGGGTCAACTCTGTTGTTGTAAAATTAAAAGGGTGCAGGTTTCCCTAGAACTCTTGAAATGATTCACCCATATGTGTCTGTGTTTGATTCCCTAGTGATTTGTTTTCCACACTTTTTCCTTTGCCTCAAGAGCTGTGGTCTCTTGTGATCTGCTGTGACCATTTGCCTCCCTCTGTCTTCATCTGTGATAGTGTCATGTATGCATGATGTTTTCTCTGTTTTATGAAGACTTAACATTTTCATTTTTGGATATATTATGCACTTCTATTTAGTTCTATAATTTTTAGTCGATATTCTCAAAGAGCTTTCTTCTGTCTGTTATCCCTATTTGTAAGCCCAAGTTCTTACCTTTTCCGTTACAACATTTTATTTTATTCTCCAGATAAACAAATTGACAACGACTGATGAAAAGCAATTCTTGTATGGGAATTTGCCTGATACTTAAGCCTGATACATTCATGGGGACAAGGAAGTATGATAGCCACATACTTGGTCATGTACATGATTCAGATTAAATGAGCAAATGTAAATATAACCAAATGGCTACTTCACTGCTAATACAGCAATAGCCAAAAAGGTGTTCAAAGCTACTGTATTAGTTCTTTCCAGCTCTCATAATAGGAATATATTTAAGTAGGTGGCTTACGAACACCATTTGCTTCTCATAGTTCCGAAAGTTAGGAAATCCAAGGCTATGCAAACAGCAGATTAAATGTGCGGTGAAGGCTACCTTCTTGGCTTATACCCAGTTGTGTCCTCACTTTAAAAATGGGTAAATAGTCTGATTTTCATTTCTTTGATTTGTTAAAGTTCATTTGTGTGTGTGTGCCTGATGTGGGGTATGCATATGCCACAGCACTCTTGTAGAGGTCAGATAGTAACTGTATAGAGTCACTTTTTCCTTCCACCTTGGTATGGGATCCCAACAACAAATTAACATCACCAGGCTTATGCAGCAAGCACCTTTACCTGCTAAGTCACCCACCAGACCACCTCCCTTAATTCATTAGTGATTAATTGATTTTATTAGTCAAATTTGTTCTTTAACATTTCCTTTTCATATATGGATAAAATGTGATTTAATGACTCATACTCCAACCTCTGGAAATTTCGCCTACTCTCTACACATCCTTTCCCACATTTGTGTCTTTGTTTTGTGACCCCCGAGTTTAACCGAGGCCATCTCTGTGAGCACAGGTTTGGAAATATGCACTAGAGATTGGTGAGGTTACTAGGGGTACACAACTGAAAAAAAGGGATTCCTCCTCTCCCAGAATCCTTCAGTAGCCAATAATTCACCAGGAAGGAACAGGGTCCCAGGAGCTCCTTGCCAATTCATAGTGGACTGTTCACCATGCCAACCCTGGGAAGGCCCCGTGTTGCTGCAATGGCTGTGGCATCCCATTGGTGATATTTTGCAGATAATATTTGCAAAATATGAGGCTTAGAGACGATATATGTTCCACAAGGTCAAAATATTGTAAATTTTTTTCAGATGTATCAGTCATGTCCACATTCAAGAGGGTGAGGCATTTGAACTCATCGTCTGGATTAAAAAATGAGACATTTTCTTTAGAAAGAAAGAAAGTGAGAGAGAGAGAGAGAGAGAGAGAGAGAGAGAGAGAGAGAGAGAGAGAGAGAGAGAAATATAAGCCACGTAGTGGTGACACATGCCTTTAATCCCAGCACTTGGGAGGCAGAGTCAGGTGGACCTCTGTGAGTTTGAGGCCGGCCTGGTCTACATAGCAAGTTCCAGGACAGGCTCCAAAGCTACACAGAGAAACCCTGTCTCAGAAAAATTTTTAAAAAGGAAAGAAAGGAAGGAAGGAAGGAAGGAAGGAAGGAAGGAAGGAAGGAAGGAAGGAAGAAAGAAAGAAAGAAAGAAAGAAAGAAAGAAAGAAAGAAAGAAAGAAACAACACTGCCCAAAGGCTACATGTATCAAAACCTGAGTTTCATCCCTGGTAACACATGGTGAAAAGAAAGAGTTATTCCCCGATTCCTGTGGATTGTGTGGCACATGAGCTCACACATATGCAAACACACATGCATACACACACACACAAATGCAAGAAAAGATCACAAAAATTAAAAAATATCACAATATAGCAAACAATTTTCATGAAAAAAAAGATTATAAAAGAGATACCACAAAACATCCAATGGACAGCTTCTTTCCAAACTACCCATGAAACTTCTATCATTATCAAGAACTTGCTAAGAAGCTGGAGAGATGGCTCAGTGGTTAAGAGCATGTGCTGCTGTTGCAGAGAACCCGAGTCGGATCCTGGCACTTACATTAGTCTCACAACTACTTGTAACTCCAGCTCCAGAGTATCTGATGTCCTCTGATGATTTCCTCAGGCACCCTCACACGTGGCATACCCTCACACAGACTCACTAGTAGACACACACACATACACAAGAATAAGAAATAAAAATAAATCTTAAAATAAAAGAATTCCATAAAGGCAGAGAATGGAATGATGTCATCACTATAATATATATGGAAACTTCTATCTACACTAGTATGTTTTCGTATGGTTTTTATGTCAGATATGATTTCCCTCTTGCTGAGTGGGCCTTAAGTCCAGTTAGAGGTTACTGGCAAAGTATGTGTGCCATTATTTCACTCTTAGGGATATCATGAAACGCTGGTTGTTTCAGACTTCAGGGAGGATGCTTTCAGGTCACAACCAGCTTGGATCCTCCAGATCTTGTGTCCAAAGTACGTGGTGTCTTCAGCATTAGAGTTGTGTCCTCTGCCTCTGTGATACAACCAAGGGAACCAGCAATAGCTTATGTTTTGGAAGTCTTTTGGATGAGTCTGGCCAACAAAACAAAAGGGGGCTTATTCTAAAGCTTTCTATACTTCTCCAGCCTCATTTGTTGATATCTAATTGAGCATAAAAACCATCTTGGAAAACATTATCTAGACACCTGATTCAGTTTTCTCAAAATGATAGATAGTGAGAAGCCTAGCCCAGCCTGGATACTCAGTATTGATGGGGTGGGATAAAGAAATACAGGTAGGAGTTTTTTCTTTTTTTCCTCATGTATGCATGAGTACATGATTCATGCATGAATGTGTGAATGTGTGCATGCATACATGATGTAGATGTGTTTGTGTGGATTCACTAGAGGAAGACATTGAGTATCTTATCTAATCCTTTATTGAATAAATGAGGTTTAGTTAAATACCCTGGCTCAAAAGAATTGTTTAACTGAATATGATGTTATGCCTGTGGCCTGTATGCCCCCTCAATCCTTATGGCTCTGGATCCTACAGTTCTGGGGCTATATGCATGTACAACTATGCCCATATTTTTTATGTGGGTACTGGGTATTTGAACTAAGGTCCTCATAATTACACAGCAGCACTCTTAACCACTAAGTCATATCCCTAGGTCCCTGCTGAGTTTTCTAGGGGGATGAAAACAGACAGAGAAAGACTAAAGGTAGCATTGGAGGAAGAGGTGTCCCGGGTAAAATAAGGGGAGAGGAGAGAAGGAAAAGGTGGACAAAGGAAGGAAAAAAGAGAAAGAGGGAGGTATACAGCAAGAGCAAACCAAGGAAAATAATAGATATAAATAAATGATAGATATTAGTAGATAGACAGATAGACAGACAGGTAAGAGATCCATTGATAGGAAGGAGGGAGATACATTTCAGGGTCCCTAGCCACTTCCCTGGACTTACAGGACCACGAATCCCTCATCCCCAGTCAAGTTCAGTGGAAAGGCAACTGGGAACCTGCCACTGGGGAAGACATCTGCAGAGATAAAACTCCCATCCCTCCCATTACAGTTCTAGTGGTCTATACACAGGGCTGTGCAGGCTGCACTATAGACCATCACCAAGTTTCCCCACTAAGGTAAGCAGAGCTCTTGCTTTCCAGGATAAACTGGTCAAGTACTATAGGGACTGGACAGTAGAAGACAAAGAAAATAGAGCACAGAGCAGCTTTGAATTCTGCGTCAGGAAAGAAAGGTGAAAGAATGTATAGTGGGTTGTCTACTGATACAGGGACCTGGTTCCTAGCTGTGAGGGCCGGTACTGGTTCCCAGTGGTGCACTGAATCTATTTACTCCCCATCACTTCCCCTTTCCATGCTAGTCATTGGTTCTAGGCTTCATTCTGGGGTGATGAGTTTTCATGCTGTATGGAAAGGAGAACATTTCTGAGACAGGGCAAGATCAAGTGTCTGTCCTTTGTGCTTCTGTCGCCTGTACTGTGTGGATGTGTACACAGTTTGTGTGTGTGTGTGTGTGTGTGTGTGTGTGTGTGTGTATGTGTGTGTGATGCACCTCTACTAAATTCTCATCACTGCCATAGCTAATTATTATAAAGATCTTATAATAATTTAAACAATTGAATGGTGGCTTAAAACAAGAGAAATTAACTCTCATAGCTCTGAAGACTAGCAGTCCTATACCAATGTATCAACAGGGCCATATACCCTCTAAAGACACTACGGGAGAATCTTTCCTTGTGTCTGCTGACTTCTAGTAGCAACATCATTCCAGTCTCTGCCTTTAGTTTTATGGCCTCTTTATGACTATGTGACTTCTACTATTTTTTTAGTTTTTAAGAATCAACAATTTATTGTGAGTATGCATGCATGATGTGTATCAGTATAGGTATGCATGTTCCACCATGCACAGGGAGATGTCAGAGGACAGCTTGTGAGAGTGAGTTATCTCGTTTTACCTACTGTGTGGGTCCTAGGGATCAAACTCACATAGTTGAGTTTGGCAGACAGCATCTTTACCATCTTATTAGCCCCCACTTTTCTTATAAGGATGCCTCTCTCTCTCTCTCTCTCTCTCTCTATATATATATATATATATATATATATATATATATATATATATATATATATATATATATCACATTACAATTTAGGATGAGCTTATCTCAAGATCTCTACCTTGGTTAAAATCTGCAAAGACCTTATTTCCAAATAAAGTCACATTGTGAGGTTACAGGTAGACAGACATGCACCTCTGGAAGATGTTGTTCAACCAAAACAAAACCCTTGAATATGTTGCTGCTATTTGTCCTTAGTTTATTGAACTCTCAGATAAGTATCAGGTACCTGGTAAGTTCTCTCAGTAGGTGTGTGTGGAATGAGCAGTTGTCTCCATTTCTGTCTGTTTATTGAGAATAACCAACAATGTGTACTTCAGAAGCAGGGTGCGGCCCTCTGCTTGACTTTTTCTGCTTTTGTACTTGCGTTAACAGGTTTAGGTTTATGACACAGATCTATGGAGCAGACAGAGCTACATTGTTTTTATAATGTTCCCCTTGAAAAGTGCGGGAACTGGGATCAGACCGGGGACACATCTCCAAGGGGCTCTGCCTGGGTTTTGTGTCAGTAGTGAAAACGTTGGCCTTTCTTTTTTCTCTAGATCCAGTTTCCTGTAGGTGATTGGAAAAGGCCTCTTGGAGAATCTTTCAAAGCAGTTGTCCTGAGA